CTGTCGACTACCTCCAACCACCATCTAAAAACCAATCGTATAAGTAAAATCTTTGTTAATTTTTATGTATCCTCAGAGGAATTTTAAAAAAAGAGTAACATGAATTGTCAAAGCAAATGAATATTGTATATTGATGGGATTTCGTTCACTGAGCTAGATGATTTGGTCGTCGAGCTTTCATTGTTCTTCTGAACGACATCATCAACACAAACTTCAGATAGAAAAGAAGTGTTCGAATTTATATTACTGAAGATTTTACTACATGTATTCTTAATCCAGATCAGATTTTAAAATCATTTTTCCTGACATAGATTGAAGTTCATTTACAATCCTACATTGTTTTTCACTTTCCATTTTTGGTCATCTGTCCTTAGTCATCTTTAAATCACACGATTTTATCATATTTGATGTTCTAAATTGGATTTGCTGATTTATTTACTAGAAAGACGATGACTACTTAATTAAATATTAAAGTAGAATAAACCGTTTCCAGAAAATGTATTGTGAAAACACTAAATATCGATCGAAAACTACTGAATCATTGGTACACAAATTAGAAACTTTTTGAAATGGTTCAATGCAACTTAATCCACTCAGCTTTTGCACCATCTAGTTTGTAGCATTTATCACTAACATAAATGATCTGGAAAAGTAATGCGATTTGGTTTCGAAAAAAAAGTTGAGGGAATTATAGATTGATTGAAATTAGACATTAACACCGTTGGATGTCGGCCCGCTCAGTGGTTTAGAGGTTAAGCACTCACGCACAAGAATGATAGGTCCTGGGCTCGAATTTGACGAGGTGGGATCGTGAATACACACTGCTGAGGAGTCTCACAATAGGATGAAACAGCCATCCAGTGCTTCCAGATTTTCCATGGTGGTCTAACCTTAATTGATTCATGAATTAACATGAAAATTGTTCAAAAATGAATTTATTACATTATTAGTTAAAGCAAATACGTGATATTATTGATCAGGCGTGGTTGTAGGACTTGGTTAATTGATCAAAGGCTGATTACTTCCAGGGGGTTTGTGTAGATTATTGAATTTTATGATTCGCATCACGAATTGATGTTACTTAATCATTTATGTAAGAAGGCAATGTAAAGACTACAAGTGATTATTTAAATTAATCTAGCCACCCAAAAATATGCATTAAGACATTAAACACTACTCAGCTATTAGAAATCAGACTTCCTATATGGTCTTATCCTAATGTGTTAGTCAAGAGTTAATGAATAAATACAGTGACTGAATCGGATGGTAGACCATAAGAGGTGAGAAAAACGTCCACACATTATTCTCAGTTCTAATAAGTTGATTATATAATGAAAGAAATCGACTATACTTGTATGTAAAGTACTTATGTATGAAATATATGATTTATACATTGGAGGCTGAGATTGCTTTCTGGACCTAATTGGGCAGAGCCAGACAAGAAGGACCAATAAGGATTCAGAGTTGTTTTTGACGTGTCATTTGTTTAGCACAAGAATAAGGTATTTGGATTGATGATAATTAACATGATAAATTTCATAACATAGATTAAGTTTTAAAAATGAACAAAAGTTGACTGAAGTAATAAAATTGACCATATGTAGTAGTAATATGGTGATTGAAGATAACCAATGGAAAATCCAGGACCCGGGTTTCATGCTATATGATATTAGTTAGCAATCTTAAAGGAATTGATACTCTTTGGTAAATTTGATCCTATAACACCTGATTTTACATTTCAAGACGTTATCTTTGAGTTGTTTGAGCTGCTAATTACCTTTTGTAGAACTGAGATATATTTACAATTGACCGCCTGGAGTCCCTCCGTGGGCTACTGCCGGTCCCAAGCCCGGATAAAAGAGGAAGGATGGGCATGGGGTTAGCGTCCCCATCCCGTAGAAAACTAACTCGCTAAAAAAACGCTAACCAGGAAAAATTATTCAGAAGGTCAGAAGGTCTTCATTTAGAAGAACTATGACGCCTCATGATGAAAGCCGAATTCCTTCGGAAGTTACGAGGCCGATGCCCCTTCTGACAACCAGAGCGACCATTTATTTAGGTACGTGGAATGTTCGTACAATGTAGGACAAAGGGAGAGCCCTCTAAATTGCTGCAGAAATGAGAAGATACAACCTAGAGGTGCTTGGGATCAGTGAAACACAATGGACGCAAGTTAGACAACAACGACTAACTTCAGGAGAGCTTCTATTATACTCCGGCCATGAAGAAGAAAATGCTCCACATACACATGGAGTTGCATTGATGCTGTCCAAACAAGCACAAAATGAACTTATAGGATGGGAATCTCATGGACCAAGGATCATCAAAGCCTCGTTCAAAACAAAAAAGGAGGGCATTACAATGAATATCATCCAATGCTATGCGCCTACCAACGATTACAATGAAGACGCTAAAGATCAATTCTACGATAGGCTGCAGTCAATCGTCGAGAAGTGCACAACAAAGGACCTGACCATTCTGATGCGAGACTTCAATGCCGAGGTTGGAACGGAGAACACTGGATATGAAGACATCATGGGACCACAAGGACTGGGAGAAAGGAACGAAAATGGTGAGAGATTCGCAAACCTATGTACCTTCAATAAATTGGTCATAGGCGGCATTATATTCCCACACAAACGCATTCACAAAACCACATGGACTTCACCGGATCACACCACGCAAAACCAAATGGATCATATTTGCATCAACAAAACGTTCGGGACGACTATAGAGGACGTGAGAATCAAGAGAGGAGCTGACATAGCCTCAGATCATCACTTGCTGGTGCCAAGATGAAATTGAAACTCAAGAAGCACTGGACAACGGGGCGGACAATATCACAAAAGTTCAATACGGCCTTTGTTCAGGATACTAACAAACTCAACAAATTCAAGATAGTCCTCAGCAATAAGCTCCAGGCCTTTCATGATCTACTCAATGGAGAAGGAACTACTGTGGAGAACAATTGGAAGGGATCAAATAGGCAATCACTTCAACATGTCATGAGGTCCTGGGTCACAAGAAGCATTATCATAAGGAATGGATCACTGTTGATACACTGGATAAGATTCAAGAAACGAGGAACAAGAAAGCAGCAATCAATACCAGTCGAACAAGAGCAGAAAAAGCCAAAGCACAAGCTGAATACACAGAAGTAAACAAACAAGTGAAGAGGAGTATCAGAATCGACAAACGTAAATATGTGGACGATCTAGCAAAGACGGCGGAAAAGGCTGTAAGAGAAGGGAACATGAGACAACTGTATGACATAACAAAGAAACTCGCTGGAAATCGCCGCAAACCCGAACGACCAGTGAAAAGCAAGGAAGGCGAGGTAATCACCAACATTGAAGAGCAACGAAACAGGTGGGTAGAACACTTCAAAAAACTCTTGAATCGACCAGCTCCACTGAACCCACCCAACATCGAAGCAGCACCTACGGACCTCCCAATCAACGTTGGCCCACCAACAATTGAAGAAATCAGCATGGCCATCAGACAAATCAAGAGTGGCAAAGCAACAGGACCTGACAACATTCCAGCACAGGCACTCAAAGCAGACGTAGCGGTAACTGCAAGGATACTCCACATTCTCTTCAATAAGATTTGGGATAAGGGAACAAGTACCAAAAGACTGGAAAGAAGGACTTCTGATCAAAATACCGAAGAAAGGCGATCTGTGATAACTGTGATAACTACAGGGGCATCACTCGTCTTTCAATACCGGGAAAAGTCTTCAACAAGGTGTTGTTAAACAGAATGAAGAGCTGCATAGACGCCCAACTTCGTGACCAACAGGCAGGATTCCGTAAGGATAGATCGTGTACAGACCAAATCACAGCTCTACGGATCATTGTGGAACAATGAATTCGATGGAATTCATCACTCTACATCAACTTCATTGACTACAAAAAAGCATTTGATAGCGTGGACAGGACAACACTATGGAAGCTTCTTCGACACTACGACGTGCCTCAGGACATAGTCAATATCATACAGAGTTTATATGATGGATTACACTGCAAAATCGTGCATAGAGGACAGTTGGCAAAGTCGTTGGAAGTGAAGACCGGTGTCAAGCAAGGTTGCTTACTCTAACTCTTTCTCTTTCTCCTGGTGATCGACTGGATCATGAAGACGTCAACTTCTGAAGAGAAACACGGGATACAATGGACATCTAGCATGCAATTGAACGATCTAGACTTCGCAGATGATCTTGCCCTTCTATCCCAAACGCAACAACAAATGTAGGAGAAGACGACCAGTGTAGCAGCAGCCTCAGCAGCAATAGGTCTCAATATACACAAAGGGAAAAGCAAGATTCTCCGATGCAACACGGCATGCACCAATCCAATCACAATTGACGGAGAAGATTTGGAAGATGTAAAAACTTTACATATCTATGCAGTATCATTGATGAACATGGTGGATCTGATGTAGATGTGAAGGCGCGGATCGTCAAAGCAACAGCAGCATATTTACAACTGAGGAAAACCTGGATCTCAAATCAACTGTCAACCAACACCAAGGTCAGGATTTTCAATACAAATGTCAAGACAGTTCTACTGTATGGGGCGGAAACCTGGAGAACTACGAAAGCCATCATCCAGAAAATATAGGTGTTTATTAACAGTTGTCTACGCAAAATAATTCAGATCCGTTGGCCGGACACTATTAGCAACAACGTACTGTGGGAGAGAACAAACCAGATCTCAGCGGAGGAAGAAATCAGATAGAAGCGCTGGAAGTGGATAGGACACACATTGAGGAAAGCACCCAACTGCGTCACAAGACAAGCCCTCACATGGAATCCTCAAGGCCAAAGGAAAAGAGGAAGACCAAATAACATATTACGCCGAAAAATGGAAATAGACATGAAAAAGATGAACAAGAATTGGATGGAATTAGAAAAAGAGGCCCAGGACAGAGTGGGTTGGAGAATGCTGGTATTCGGCCTATGATCCATCGGGAGTAACAGGCGTAAGTAAGTAAGTAATTTATAGAGTAACCATGTGTAATTAGCTATACCACACAATGAAAATTGACTTGTTTTAAAAAATTCATTGATCAAGTTAGACAATTTTTTACGTACGGAAAAAGTTCAATTTATAATGTAACCTACATATATTCATTTTTATATTGAGAAGGATTTATATTCTTATGTCTTAATATTATTAAAATTTGTAGGGAATTTAAATAGTTGATTCAGTTGTCTTGTATAGTTATAGATCTGATTGTGTTGACTGAGATGTATATAAATATACTGATGTGAACAGAGAAACAAGAAGCCTTGATAAACTATGAAAGCTATTCTTCAAGACGTTATTGCAGTTAATTCGAAGCTTGTAAAATAGTAACATTTATCTTTGTCCATAGTCTATTCTACAGAACATGAGCTTTCGTTAGGTGTATCATTCATTACCATACCCTTTTTTGTTCCAAAGCTACTGTAATTTAAACATAATATTTGGCACCCTATTTTCTACACTAATCTCCAGTTTTCAACATGATTGTATTTTCCTACGTTGTGGTCGGGTTAGTCATCTATTTATTTATATATCTTTTTACATTAGTCTGAAATCGGGAACAGATAGAGTAGTGTTCCAGTTGTCTTATCTTCTGTCAGTCGCGTGCTTGTCAGTCAATCAGGTGACAAGATCATTTTCTTCTTTCCACCCCACTTCGAACTCACGCGTACTAGCCCCAAAGTTAAGCTAGTCAGCTTATCTCATCAAGGTCTTAATCTAGATTAGACAAGTTAACCTCAGCACCAAAAAGTGGGTAGACAGATTAAGGACGTAAGGGATCTCTCTCTTTTCAATGAATTTATTATCATGCTGTACAATTGTTAAAGTACTACTTCCATAGGGAAATGTGAACAAGGAATAATCAAGATGACATAATAAGAAGATTACAATACTAGATTACGCAATGCGAGCAATAAAAATAGACTTAATAAGTTAGTAACGAATTATAACGTCAGTCAGTCAGTCAGTCAGCTACAACGTAGAACCATGCACTTATGTGCATCGGTCCAGGTTGCCATACCGCATCAGCACAACAAGATGAACACCGGATTCATAACAGTGGTTAGGTAAAAAGTGGTAATATATAAGAGAAAGATTGCATATAGAGATATAGTACAAGAAGAAAGAATTGGTTAGTAGAAAGAAAGATATGATATAACGTGGATGTAATAAGATGGTTAAAGTACTTTTGTTACAATAATTATAGGTCATAGAGGTGTAGTGAATAAGTAAAGTGATATCATGAGCACTTATGAATAAGACAATGAGAATGTGACACATCAATAAAGGGGGAAGTGTAGTAATAATAATAATATTAATTATGGCAAAAGTAACGATAACGATAAGACGTACTCCTTTTGTACGCATAGTTCTAGTTTGAGCTCATGGATAGTAAGAGCTTCGGTTATTTTAAGGAGTTGGATACGAAAAAATCTAGGTAGATTTGAATGAATCATATGTACAACCTTAAAAATCAAACTATCGATCCGTAGAATGATTACAGTCGATCCGGTATTCAATTATAAAACTTCTAACTGCTTTCCTCTCACCCTTGTAGAACTAAACTGGAACGTGTTCTCGTATCCTAGTTGAAAGCGAGCGCTGGCTCAGCGACTGAATAAGAAATAAATATTATTCTATTGAAATTGTACTAACCCTACGCCTTGAATTATTTTGAACTAAGGCTCACAAACTGTTAAGAAGATAAAACAAAGTGAAAATGTTTATACTTCATTTCCATAAACGGAAGCTGCTACATAAAAAACGTAGGTGTATATACATCTTTTGAGGTATTATTTTGATGAAGTTTCATTCTCTAACTTGATTAGTTTATTCGTGAAGATTTCATCGTCTTTCTAGACAACATCTTCAGTACAAAGTTGGGATAGAACTGAGTTATTCTTTACTAATAACTATCATCTTTCTCTGGCTTAATGTTGAAATTTTATGTATATAATCTCAAGAATTTTCAAACCGAAATAAAAGAAAAGTACTTGATTGATCTTTCTGATGCTCTAATACATGAGTTAGAAGCACGAGTTAGTAAATAGCATTGTCTGACTCCGATCCTTACTTGAAATGCGTTTGGTCAGTTGTCGTCCATGAATAACTTTGCAGTATAGTCCACCGTCTGAATTCCAAATGGTGTTGACGATCGTCTTAGTTACTCACTCCGTAGTGTCGAAGATTGTTCCACACGTTTCTCCTATCCACACTGTCATACGCCTTCTCATAGTCAATGATGTTGATACATAGTGGTGAGTTGCATTCAATTGATTGTTCAACGATGATCCATAGTATCATGATTTGATCTTTTCAGGAAAGATCCTTACGGAATCTGATCTATACTGTTTCTAGGTCTTCTACGTATTTCTGTTTGTCAGCTCGAGTACTCCTATTCACTTGCTTGTTTGATTCTATGTATTCAGCTAATGCCTTAATGCTCTCTGTTCTTGTTCGAGTGTCTTCTTATCATTCCTTTCTTGAATCTTGTTCAGGATTTCGATAGAGATATATTCCTTATGATGGTGTTCGTTGCTGCCTCCCATCACCTCCTGACAAGTTGAAGTTAGTGCTTCTTTGATCACTTCCCAGTTTCCTTTTATAATATTTTCCTTATCTTCTTTCCTTAGATTCTGTAAGGCTTTGAACTTGTTGTTAATCGAGTTTGTCAGTATATCGAAGGAAGTCTGAATCGAACCTTTGTAATTCTGTTCCTCCAGTTGTCCAGTGCTTCTTTAGCTTCAGTCTTATCTAAACAACCACCAGGTAGATGGTGATATAAAGCTATTTCAGCTCCTTTCTTTGTTCTCACATCTTTCATTGACTTTCTGACTTTCTTAGTGATGCAAGTATGATCGATCTGGTTCTGTGTAGTGTAATCCAGCGAGATGGACCCATGTAGCTTTTTGAATGTGTTTATGTGGGAATACTGTGTCATCTACAACCATTTCGTTGAATGCTCATAAATTTACAAATCTGTCACTATTCTCGTTGGTTACTTCCAATCATTTCATATCGTCCCATGATATCTTGGTACCCAGTGTTGTCCATTCTGACTTTGGTGTTTAGATCCTTCATCAGTATGGTCAGGTGCTTTCCTGAGTACTTCACTGTGATCAATTGAAGCATTTCGTAATACATATATATATTCAAACAAAATCTTTGTTAATTCTAAATAGTCTAAAAACAATTATTTAATCAATGAAAAGTACTGCTCATTGAATAAAGTCCAACAAATTGTCGAACGCAAACACACACACACACAGTATTCTTCATTTCTATGAAAACATCATTTTCATAATTACCATTCACAAGTGTTTCAGCGTACATATCTCAAAGTACACAATCATTTCAGACTATATTTGCATGTATAAATGTACATTTATATAGATGAACTATAACGTCATCACGAAGTTCTTCTGAAGATATTTACAATGAAGTTCATTATAATACTATTGATTTGGTTACATATATTATTACATAATGTCCATTCAAATAGAACATTGATATTTAATGAATTATGGAAGAAATGGAAATCTATTTATGCTAAACAATACAATGATCTAAATGAAGAATTGATTCGACAAAGAATTTGGAATAAGAATCTAATTAAAATTCAATTGCATAATTTACGTTATGATTTAGGCTTTGAAACATATTCTATTGGTTTAAGTCGATTTACCGATATTGAATGGAATGAATTTTGTTCAATGTATAAAATTGACAAGAGATTAATTATTCCTGAATCATCTTTTATTGAAGAAGATTATGATGTGAATAATGTTGGTTGGACACCAGATTCATATGATTGGCGTCATTTGAATGTTGTGAATGAACCAAGAGATGAAGTAAGATGTTAGTTAATTACTTACTAAGTAACAATAATGAGATAAGATAGTGGTTGGAGGTAGTCAATAGGAAACCTTGGACCCGATTTTCGTGCTATTTGGCACTAGTTAGCAAGGTGTATCTGTTATCTTAAGGGAACTGGTGCTCCCTGACTTATTCGGTCCAGTGTCACTAGCTTCACAGTCAGAGATGTTATCACTTAGCTATTCGGGCCGCGATCGACATCCAACAGTAATGATTATTTATGATTCTTTATGTAAATTAAATACTGAACAGTCATAATTTCCATGATATTGTAAATTTATAGGTACATTTATCTGACGTTATCCCATTTGATATTTCATTGAGATTTACCTAAATGTTGCTAAGTGGTTGGATGCAACCCATTGGAAATCATCAATCTAAGTTTAATGTGGTTTGTAATATTAGAAGAAATGATATTTTTAGTCAGATCAAAAACTTAATCAACTACAATCATACTTAGTAACTTACTCACTAAAGTATTTGGGCCATGACTTAATTACTGATAAATTGAAAAGTTTACATTATTTGATCGGACATTTTTCATGTGCTCGCTAATGGTTAGCTTCATGAAGGAATCCTCAGAGTTCTAGTGGAAAGCCGTGATCAACGGAGTTAATCCATGTCAGTTAAAGACAGTTATCTACTTCAGTACAAGATGGTCGCAAAATTTCGTGGATTAGTTAAGGTTAGACATTAACACCGTTGGATGTTGATTCAGTGGTCAAGAGGTTAAGCGTTTTGCAAGCGAGACTGAAGGCCCTGAGTTTGAATCCGGTGAGGCGGGACCGTGGATGCGCATTGCTGAGTCGCCTCATAGTAGGACGAAATGGCCGTCCAATGCTTCCAGGTTTACGATAGTGGTTTAACATCAATTGGTTCTTAATCTCAATCAAAAACATAATAATCTCCACAACACTATAGTGATAATAGATTTTTTGACTCAATGGTATTACAAAATGTACTCCAATAAAATATATCTGTAGATATAGAATGAATTCGTCTGTAGTCATATTTCTAATTCACTTCAGAATTAGTGGAGTAAATAGTATTAAATATGTAATATACGAACTAGTAGTTCGCAAATCTGTTTAGTACGTACTCTGGTGGTCATAAATGGATTAGTAGTTAAGTTTGACGTAAGACAATGTACACACTTGCAAACATTATAATGAAATTAGAATTAAGTATCTATCTGTAGGGACGGCCTCCGGTGAAATAAGGCTAGCTCTAAGATGGTCTGAGCGAGCCGAAGACATTTCATCCAATCATCTTCTAGAAGAACATTCCAGAATCTTAATATGTAGCCTTCCGATTGGACAAATGATAAAAACCACTGCAAGCAGATTGAATGACAGTAATGATAATTTTGTTTTTACTAAAATTATGAATACCTGGGTGTTTTGAACTGTATTCGACACTGTTTGGAATAAGATTCCTTCGCACTAGTCTTCTGTCTTCTGACTTGCGACTTAAAGGGTTTAAATGTTCGAGTGCTCGAGTGGTACTCGGTTTTGCAAGAAAAATATAAGTTCTAGATATAACAGCATCAATTTACAAAGTAACTATCATTACAGACAAACATCATAGAATGATCAACTAATCAGTTTTAGATCTTGGCATTTTTCATTGCTATTAGAATTAGTGAGTACTAAAAATATGAATGTAAGTTAGGTGATTAAAAATACTTACTTACTTACTTACTTACGCCTGTTACTCCTCGTGAAAGAGCATAGGCCGCTAACCAGCATTCTTCATCCAACCCTGTCTTGGGCAATACTTTCCAGCTCCTTCCAGTTCCTATTCATCCTTTTCATATCTGCTTCTATTTCCCGATGTAATGTGTTCTCAGGCCTTCCTCTTTTCCGTTTCCCTTCAGGATTCCAAGTTAGGGCTTGTCTCATGATGCAGTTTGATGATTTGCGTAATGTATGTCCTATTGATTTCCATCGTCTTTTCCTAATTTCTTCTTCAGCAGGAAGCTGATTTGTTCTCTCCCAGAGAAGGCTGTTGCTGATGGTATCCGGCCAATGGATGTTGAGTATCTTGCGAAGACAGCTATTTATAAATACTTGTACCTTCTTGATGGTGGATGATGTAGTTATGTTACTATGCTACCAGAACTTATAAGCATGCTACACATCAAGTTGTAATGGGACTGATGTAATCTATGGGATTCGAACCCAAGCTTGAAAATAGATTATAAAGAATTCTATCTATCTATCTATCTTTGCGTGTATACTGTTTTCTTCTTTGTATTACCTAATTTGTTTTCATATGTCAGGGTTCATGCATTGGTTCGTATGCATTTGCTGTAACAGCTGTAACTGAATCTCAATATGCTTTACGTACATCTAATCGAAAAAATTTTTCTGTACAACAGTTTATTGATTGTACACGTATATATGGTAATATGGGCTGTCATGGTGGTTACACATTTACATTGTTTATTTATTTACAAAATTTTGGATTAGAAACAGAAGAGAATTATCCTTTTACGGGTGGGGTAAGTTTGAAATGATTCATTTAATTTATTAATACATAACATTATGCATGATTTTTAATTGATATGTAGTATGCTTATGAATGTGACTTTCAATTATAATCATGAATCATGTAACATTAGACAAGTGTTTTTCCTTTTCGTTTAATGCTTTATATCTATAGGCACCCTAAGACTCCAGAAAAATGATCAAAGTCAGCAACACTGTTACTTTTTAACATTATAGGGTTGTGAAAATTATTAATTTATTGATTCAGATCTTGAATCGATTAGTGTTAGACTACCATTGGAAACTCGGGAGCACCGGACCGCCGTTTCGTCCTATTTTAGGTCGCACTTCTGAAGAGTCTTGAAATAAGACGAAACGGCCGTCAAGTGCTTCCTTATTTTCATTGGTGGTCTAACGCTAATCGGATCAAGATCTCAATCAATAACTGTCAGTTTCCTCTGTGAACATAATTAGCTTGGATAGTTTGTTTATGTTGAAAATGCTAACCAATCTGTTATGAATGATCAATATGAAGAGACTGTTCATTAGTTTTTGTAAACGACCCTATAATTCTATTATATAATAATGAGCAAATGGTATATTGGATAAAAGCCAGTCATTTCAGTGTAACACTTTAAATTAATTCACTATTGTTCAATAATAAATGATTAGTAATTCTTATATCTTATTCATTCAGTAATAATTGATTAACATCATCGTATACTGGCTCACTAATCTAAAGGTTAATCAGTTGCACGTGAAATCGAATGTCTTGGGTTCGAATTTCTTATGTGAGATCATGAATGCACACTGCTGAAGAGTCTCATACTGGGACGAAATGGCCATTTAGTGCTTTCAGTCTTTCAGTGATTGTCATAGACCAACTGATGAAAATGCAAATAACTAAAGTTTCACTTCAATCATTGTCTGTTATTATACTCGTTAAAATATATGAGAATTGATTATGTGATATGAACGACTGAATAAAATGAATGTAAAACTAGATGAAATCACATTGAATGAGTCTATTGAATGTGAATTTCTTTGTTTTAAAAAAAAGTAGTTTATTTTGCAGTCTGGTTTAAAATTAACAAAGAAATTGGTAAGTTTATAGTTGTAAATAGTAGATCATTGTTAATCATAACAATATTGATTAACTGCCAAATCAGTTTTGTTCTTTTTTTTTAGTTTATTTAGAAAGGATTAGAAGTGCCGTTTACTTTGATCAGCAACAAAAAATGTTTTTGACAGAATTTCAAATGTCTGAATTTATGAATAATGACCGATAGATAAGTAAAGATAAATAGTGGTTAGTAGTGGAATCCTGTTTGATGAGCGTTTCGTCTTATTTGCAATTCATAGTTGATGTTCACTCCAGGACTCGAACCCAATACTACTCACTTCGAACGCCATCATGTTATCCACATAGGTACTGAGTCCTGATGATCACTTGCTTGTGAAAACGAGAGGTTCTGGGTTTGAGTCCCATAGTAAACACCAACTCTCAGATGGAGGTATATCCGACTGACGAGTGTCAAATAAGATAAAACGCATGTCAAACTGGATTCCACTGCTAACCACTATCCATCTTTATTTATAATGCTTGTGAATGAAGGCAATATTAAGACTATCCGTTCAGGATGCACATATTCCAACAAGATACTGATCAATTGCAGTTCTATACAACAATGGGAAGATACAAGTAGAACAACCCCAAGTGAATTTAATTTAATCTTCATTCATTGATATTTTATGCTTTAAATAATCCAGTAAGATGAATATCTAATCAATTTATTGTTAACTCTGTAAATATCATTGTGATTTTCATTGTAACTGATCTGTTTGCTTGTTTGTTTTGCATTATGTTTTATTTTTGTAAATTTTATTTCAAGGATCAAGATTGTTTAGCAAATAGTTCAGATGTGATTGTTCAATCGATTGGTTATAAATTTCATCGACATGGTTATGAAACAATTTTGAAATGGGCAGTGTACAATGAAGGTCCATATGTAATTTCAATGAATATTGATGAAAAGTTTTTACATTATAAGTGAGTATATTCATCATAATATGAGTGTGTGTGTGAGAGAGACAGACAGTTTGGAATTCTCACAAGGGAGATTTACCCGTTGAACTATTGTATTAGACATAATGTGCATGAAACTTAGTTACTTATACCTGTTACTATTTGTGGAGGAGCATAGGCCACCCACCAGTACTCTTCATTCAACCCTGTCCTGGGAAATCCTTTCCACCTCTTTCTAGCTTTTATTCATCCTTTTCATATCTGCTTCTATATCCCGAGGTAATGTGTTCTTTGGCCTTCCTCTTTTCCATTTCCCTTCAGGATTCTAAGTTAGGCTTGCCTTGTGATGCAGTTTGGTTATTTCCGGCGACCATGTGCATGAAAGAATCGTTATAATTACGCACATAGTCGATGGACGGACTTATCGATTAAATGTTTAAATATTACCATGGCAATATTGATTATAGATATTTTGTATAAATACGATTGGTTTGTGTGCTTGTGGGTCCTGGTATCGTCTGGTTGTCTGTAGAATACACTTTCTACATCAAGTTAGCTGAGTCGGGGACAACGGATTAGTATAGCCTATCGAGTCTCTGAATCCTTGATTCTTCGTTCGGTTCCGAGTAAGACGAATCAGTAGTAGCATTAAAGTCAACGAACATAACAAACAGTTTTGTTAGTTTACTGATTTTGCAAATATGAACACATTCAATGTAAATCTAAAATATTGTTTTGTTTGTTCATTGATCAAGGGATATACCTTATAACATTTATCACTTGTTTACAAGTAGATTCGAGGTCTTCATCCTAGAAAATTTGTTAACTCACTAAGTTTTAGAACACTATATTTAGCTTCGGATGTTTACATGTCTGATCTCAGTTAATTCTTGATGGTAAATAAATGATCTAACTAAGTGAACATTTAATTCATTCCCAGTGTAGAGTTTGGTGGAGATGGTACAATTTTCATGGGTTTTGAATCCCTTGATTAATCTTGGTTAGATCACCATAGAAATTATGGAAGTACTGGACAGCCGTTTTGCTTACGATCTTGTGACCAGGGACCGAATCCAGGACTTTCAGCTTCACACGTGAACGATCAAATTCCAGATCACTGAACCGGGATTTAATTAAATAACTTTATTCTGGTAGTGTCTAAATTTATTCATCTTTACCTGATCTAAATGTGTCAATTTAAGAAAATTACGATTCAGAAATGAATTCATTTCACAATAAGTTCAGTTTGTAATCCACTTTTTTTTTAGGTCAGGAATATATCAATCTGATACATGTACACATTATAATTTAAATCAAAGTATGTTACTTGTTGGTTACGGTTATGATAATGATGGTAACGATTACTGGATATTACAAAATAATTGGGGGACAAAGTGGGGTGAACAAGGTTACGTGAAAGTACTTCGTAACAATTGGAATATGTGTGGAATTGCTTCAATGGCATTTCGACCAATATTACGAGGTTTTTAACTATCCCGTACATTTTTAACATTTCAATTTATGTTACTTTAATAACTAATTAAGTAGTCAAAACTTTCAATATATATTTGGAACTGTAAATTATAAAACCACTGAAACATGTTCATTGATTTAATATTTTCTCAACTACTTAACAGAAACAACATGAGGATGATGTTGACGATGGATTTAAAATGGATGAAAGCTTTTATTGTTAGCTACCGTTTGAGGCCATCAGGGTAAATGTTCTTAAGTTGATAATATTGTAGTCTTTCTTAATAAATTTTGCTTGTAGGAGTTTGTATTTTACTGTTGTCAGTGTTAAGGATTGTAGTTTGTCAGTCACTTTTTTCATACACATTCGGAAGGAATCATCTCACTGTCATCAGCTAGCCACGAGTATTTTGGTAATGTTGGACAGTGGCTAGAAGTGGGAGCCACGGGTCACGGTTCGTTTGATAAGCTTCTCCTCGACGTGTCTGTATCCCACTAATGATGTTCACATGGAGACTCTAACCCAGTACCTTTAGCTAAGAACTCTATAACTTTTGTCCACTGAGCAGATATCTTAACTTTTGTGGTTAATATCATTGATTGACGTTTAGTTAGTCGACCAATGTACAGTTAGTAAGCACTAGAAAGCTATTTCATTTTAGAGTAGAACATCTCAGCTCCCTACACACTAGAAACGTTAGAGGGATTGAACTCAACACCTACCAGAACTGATTGAAAACACTCTACCTTATAATTAATTTATTGGTTATTTAGTAGAAATAAAGTGGATTCAGGGAGGAGAATTTACTTCTCAACGAGATCATTTACTTAAGTTTTACATGCACATCTACAGTTGTTTGGGAAATATGTAGGTCTGGAGAAGAATAGAAAAGATTGCATCCTAAAGCGATTCAAGATTTTAAATATCAAATATGGTTACGTAATAATCACGGAGTCAGAGGAGAATAGGTGAATGAAAATAATTTATAGGTCAGAATGATGATTATTACGTAACCATATTTGATATTTAAAATCTTGAATCGCTTTAGGATGCAATCTTTTCTATTCTTCTCCAGACCTACATATTTGCCAAACAACTGAAGATATGCATGTACAACTCTAGTAAATGATCTCGTTGAGAAGAAAATTCTCCTCCCCGAATCCACCTTATTTTGTATTTTGGTGACACAATCGGCTATTCAATGTAGAATATTTTCGACTCTAATTGATTCGTTGTATTTTGTGATCCATATTCATCTTTATTTAAGATACATGTCTCAATCTCAATATGAATGAACTGTACTAGTTACATTAACTTAATAATGCTTGCTTGTATCTTCCTATTGTTGTATAGAACAGCAGTTAATCAGTCTCTTGTTGGCATATGTGCATCCTGAACGGATAGCCTCGATATAGCCTTAATTCACAAACATTATAAACAAAAATGGATAGTGGTCAGCAGTGGAATCCAGTTTGATATGCGTTTCGTCCTATTTGACACTCGTCAGTCGGATGTACCTGCATCTGACTGTTGATGTTCACTCTGGAACTCGAACCCAATAACGTTTGCGTTATCCACTCAGCTCTTGAGTCCTGATAACCACCTGCACTAGTTACAGTTTTTTCTATGTGGTGTTTTCCAGAAGAAAAACGATAATTATTTGGAAAAGACAACATGATTATTTTATTAAGTTGAGAATGGAAGCCAAAAATTATCACCTTTATGTTCACGTATACAAAATTCTTGATTGTATGCATGTGAGTGTTTGTATGTGTATCAGTTCAGTATGTCTTTTATTAAAGTTTTAATCTGCTTCATTCATTTGTAAATTACGTTTTGCTTCTTCTTCTTCAGCCAACATCTTTTCATAACGTTCTAATGCTGATTTCAATTGAGTTATCATAAGTTCATCAATAATTGGATAAACCTTAATGAAAATTTCATTTGAATATGAATTATAAAATAGGAATACATAAAAACAAAATAGATAAAACTTATATACATGTTGACTTAAGTCTTTAATTTAAAGGTGATGTAGCTACGACATAACATTCAAGTTCACTTTTGATGGAGTTTTGTTCTCTGAATTGGATGGTTTGGTCGTGGAGCTTTCATCGTTCTTCTGAATGACATCACCTGAGTGGAAGTGAAGAGCTCAACTTTCTCCACTTGTGATTCACAGCTTATACTGTACACCTAGATGTTGATTGGTTCTTATTGACCTTAAACCTTTCATTGTTTACTTTTTTGTTTTAGTTGTATCCCCTTTCGGTTTGACTTTTTGTTCCTATGTTGGTGCATAATTCGCCTGATTGGACATAGGACAAGCTGTGAATCATATGTAGAGAAATTCGAACACTTCACTTCCATCCAAAGTTTGTGCTGATGATGTCGCTCAGAAGAACGATGAAATCTCAACGACCAAACCATCCAACTCAGAGAATAAAACTCCATCAATATCATCTACCTGAGCTATGAATCTCCACTAGTTTAAGTTCACTGTCATTAAGTTTGATGTCATCTCAAAAACGCATAAACTGGTACAATAGTAAAAGATGATAAGGTTATTAATGTATGTTTATCAAATTAACTACTTTAGATTTGGTTACATAGGCGGTGTTCAAAGGTCATAACTCTTGAGATGGTGGAGAAGATTTGTAGCTTAGGTGGATGGATTCTATCCGAAGTTTGTTCTGATGATGTCGCTCAGAAGAACTATGAAAACTCCATAACCAAACTATCCAGCTAAAACTCCATCAAGAAGGGTATAACCCTTGCATACAAAAGAGCATATAGCTTCTTGATGATGAAAAGACTTTGAACAGTTAGTAAGTCATGTTAGTATTTTTCATTTGATAGATGAAAACACTGTATGAAGGAAAGGTCTTGCATAGTTTCCAGGGTCAGTTATTAAAAACTACATGAATAAATCTTTTCTACATGGCTAAAACAATTGAGATCAATTGAAATTAATGTGTATAAAAGAGATTTATTTACCTTTTGTATTCATTATGTCTCAAGTTGAAGTCATTTTGTATCCTCGTAAAACTGATTCTTTTGAACTTTATTTTATAAACTTCTATTCATAACCCTCATTCATTTATATCTTTCCTCTGTTCTATTTCTTATAAACAACCCTTAACATCGCTTATTAATAATAACTGAAGTGTTCAAACAGACAAATGTGATACGCTTGAAATTGAGGTTCATAATAATGATTTATCTGAAGAAAATTTCTATAAATACATAATAATCCTATTAGTTGAGATCATGTGTCAGTTGAAGTTAGACCACTATGGAAAACTTGTAAGCATTGAACGGCCATTTCATCCTATTATGGGACTCCTTAACAGTGCACATCCATGATACCGTCTCGCGAGATTCGAACCCACGACCTATCGGTATTACACTAGAACGAGATGGCCGTTTAGTGCTTGCAGGTTTTCCGAGGAGGTTTAGCTTTAATAGACTCATGAATCCAACTAATTCTTCCGTCTATTGTGGACATCATTAGTAATAATCATCATCTGATTAAACACATTACTTAAAACAATTACGTAATGAACTATATATACATAATTCGTACAATTATCTGGTCTGTTTTTAAAAATTTATGCAATAATTCTTTTGATGATATTTTTTAATTAGTAGTATAGTGTATTCAACTAAATAAATGGGGTACTATGGAAATGGTTAAACTTGACAGTTTAGATCATAGATTGACATTACTTAAACAACCGTAAGAGAAATGCAAAACTTGTAATCTATTCCATATTAGTGCGGGAATTGTCACCGGTGATGACTTAGTGGTCTATAAGTTAGAGGCTTGTCATGTAACCTGAAAGCTTTGAGTTGGATCCTCAGCAGGTCGTAGATGTACACTACTAAGAAATCCCGTACTAAGACTAGAAAGCTCTTCAGTACTTCCTAGTTTCATTGGTTGTATTTGTACAAATCTGATCGGATTAATGAGAACAAGTAACATAAAATATAATCAAAAATAAGGTTGTAAACACTTACACTTGCCACCGTTTGAAACATTGGAATGAGGACAAATTTGATGAAACCAATTTGTGCTGATGGTTTAGTGACTTTTTCACGATCCATAAATGGTGCTACTGGTAAACCTTCTAATTTCTCTCGATCCGACTAAATTTTATGAAAAGTAATATCAGTGAATAAACATAATGATATTGTGAAATAAAGAAGTTTGTTTCTCCATACAATGATCGATTCATTACTTACTTATTTACTTACGCCAGTTACTCCAAGTGGAGCATAGGCCACCGACAAGCATTATCCAGCCCACTCTGTCCTGGGCCTTACTTCTTAGTTCTATCCAATTGTTATTCATTCTTCTCATGTTTATCTCTATTTATCGATTCCTTAGAAGTATATAAAGGTATATCATAAAGTCGTTTGGCTTTGAAGTAGTGATCAAGATGTGGAACTCCTGGATGACAGGTTAAAACTTTCATGTATACGATAGGATTTAAAGAAGTGCACAGGATGACCAGATTTCAAACAAAATGTGTTGCACTTGTTTGAGTACACAAATCTTGTGTTAGTTACTCAATTGCATGACATCATTTCTTAAGATTCTATGTTTATTGACCTGAATAGTAGAACAGTGAAGTTTTCCTTATCTTTCTAGCTAATATCATCTGTAAGCTATTGAAATTTCTCTAGAAATGATTAACTCCCTATTTTATCGATTAGAAATTTATTTGATTTTTGTACATAGTTATTATGTTACTGACCTTAGACTTACTTTGATTTTGTCCTTTTTTAAGTGAATTATAATCAGAGAGGGGTGTTTGTGGAGATTGTAGTAATTTAATAATTGAATTCATAAGTCAATTGAAGCCAGACCACCATAAGAAACCTGGAAGCGCTGGATGGCCGTTTCATCATAGCATGGGACTCTTCAGCAGTGCACACCCACGACCTCAATTCGCAAGATTCGAACACAAGACCTATCGGTCCCCTAGACCACTGAGCCGGCATCCAACAGTGTTAATGTCTAACCTTAACCAATCCACGAAGCTTTACCACAGTCCACTACTGTCTTCAGTGAGTTGCTATCTCACAAAAGACCCGGCTGAACTCCACAGGTCAAAGCTTCACCTTAGAACTCCAAGAAATACTTCTTGAAGACCATCGCTAATGGGCATATGATGATTATAATCAGACTGGGGTTTTATGGAGATTGTATTAATTTAACAATTGAATTCATGAATGAATTGATGCTAGAATGAAGCGAGAATGATAGGTCCTAGGTTCGAATGTCGCGGAGAGCGATCGTGGATGCACACTGCTGAGGAGTCGCATACTAGGATGAAACGATCATCCAGTGCTTACAGGTTTTTCATGGTGATCTGGCTTCAATTGACTTATGAATTCAATTATTTAACTGAATCATTGATAAATTCATTTTAAATTATCTATCTTTATATAAGGATCTAGATATTGTATTCAAATCAATATTGATATAATGGACTGCTTAAAGATATTTTTCTCACTCTCATGTATATTACTATAAAGAGACTAGTTAAGTTATGTCATATACAGGATTTACGACCCAGAATACAAATCCAGAAAGTTAGTGATAGGAATCAATAAGAGGAAAGGGAATCACATATTTAATAGTCCATAGACTATGGTTGTTTGTTCACGCTCAGTAACCAATCACACTTTACTTCACTACCATATATCCATTGTGTACATTTACCCATACAAGCTATTAGGTAAAGTTCTATTAGTTCAGCATATTCTTTTAATAAAACACTTCTAATCATAATCAAAATCATAAGAGTGTACTTGTCGTCTTACATGGGATAGAAGATATGAGCTTCAAGTCACCTGAAAGGTTAGATATTATTGAGCCTTCAATAATGCAATTAGAAGACGAAGTTTATCAGAATTATGTGATATATTTGCGCAATACATTTCGAACAAACTGATCACACCTAATATACTTGTTAAGAACATTTATATATGAAAATTAAAAGGTCAACTAGACAGGTTAAGGGTAAGTGATAACAAAGGAAGAATATTAAAGTACACAAAAACAAATGTGATTACCACTCTGGATAGTAAATCAGTACTACCAGGGTAGGTTAAGTGTAAGTACAAATTGTTTTTGAACACATAAAGGGGGTTTCAATGTCCGTATAGCCAAGGCTTCAATAAACCTTAGTATACGTCCTTGAAGGCTTTTGTACAATACAACAAATGCTGATTTCACAGATTGAAATCATGAGTCAGTTGAAGCTAGACCACCATTGAAAACCTGAAAGCACTGGACGGTCGTTTCATCCTAGTATGATTTGATGTCAATCTTATAACCAGTTTCAATCAATTGTTTCACAATGGAGGATGATGTCTGTCTATCCTGTGATCTTAATTGACCATTGAAATTCATTTGTTTCTACAACCATTTTGGTATCTGCTCACCCACCCTTAATTCCAAATCACGATTGCTTCTCTCTGTCTACGTGTTTCCACAAATACATGTAAATTGATAGACACAGTGGGATGTGACACAATCGCTTTCATGATGTTTGGGCTTTGGGTGAAACATAGACCTTTTCGATAATGACAAGTTGGGCTTCATAAAATGTCCAGTTGATAGCTAATTTACGTCTCCGTTTCAACATGAGACTATTTGTGTCGCCTTTGAATGGTAACGTAATATAAACTCGCTTTTTGGGTGCCAGAAGCGTCACAGGTCTAGTTGTATTGCAACCCTTCCAGTGGTTTATGAACTTTAAAGAATAACCGTTACTCATTAACGTATCAGTCAAGAGCTTCATCTCTACTTCAATGGTATCACTAGTACAAATAAGAATGATTCTATTGAATAAGCTCTTTATTAAACCGCGTTTATAATGAATAGGACAGTGACTATGAAAATTAAGATATTGCTCTGTCTATGTTGGCTTTCTGTGTATAGCACGTTGGATGGAACCATCATCTCTCCTACCAATCAGGATGTCTAGAAAAGGAAGTTGGTTGTTCTTCTCTTCTAAATAATAAGACGTATCTAAGCAAGCATATTAACGAATAAGTTGTTATTTCATTACTTAATTGTATCACATCACTGATGCTTGTAAGGTTATACTATTGTTACTGAACTATGTATTCCTTTACACATTGGAAAAAAAGAGAATTTTTAATAATAAGAGACAATCTGTAAGAAACTGAAGAGAGATACTTATACTACTTGGAACTTGTCAGCAAGATGTTTCTGGAATATCATGAAAGACATTATTTCTCTCTGAACAGATGGTATATCTTGATGAATAAAGTGAGATTGGACAATATATATTGATCAAATATATCTTATCTATTGTTCCTAACTACCTAACATTAACAAAACAAGAAATAAATTACACTATCATATTGATACACTTCAACAACTGGTTACATTGAAACCTGATGGATACATTTTGACAATTTGAAATGATTTACTACTAGATAACTTGATCGACAGGATTTGATCTGCACTAAGAAGGGCCTGACATACATGACATTGATTACCACTCAGTGATCAATCAATTGTGAATGCATCTTAGTCTTACGGAAGGTCAGTCGCGGCCCGGATAGCTAGCTCAGTGGTAACCTCCATGACTGTGAAGTTGGGTGACACGGAATCAAATCTGTCGGGATGTAGAGGCTAATTTCCCCTATATTTGACTCCAACAAATAGTATCCCGTTAACTGAGTATTTAATGCAGACTAAATTTCCTAATAGAATTATGGATTTACTCGAGATTATTCAAAAGCCTGAACACCAGTTATAGAGATAGTTTATTGTTAAAGAGTGGTTAAATCCGCAAGCCTACAGGAAGTAAACACACAAGGAAACCAAGAGTGTATGTGTTTGGACTACGACGTCTACGGCTTCTGGATCTTCCTCTACAATGGAGCATCAGTTCCTTCAAGATTACAGGTAAATGTTGCTGACGAGTGCCAAGTGACACAAAACCTAGTCCTAGGGTTTCCTGTTGACTACCTTCAACTAGCGGCCTGCTTGAATATCTGGGCTACCTGTTCCTCCGATCTACATATTTCATCAAGTTATCTGTTTTGTTGTTTGTTTTAGTTCATCATTATGTTCATTGAGCACACAACCTATTCAGGCGCGTTTGTGAAAAGTTTACAACCTTTCGCTATACGTGATACAAAAAGGTGCAATCATCAACATCACGGTGGCTGGCAATATGCATTGAAACGAACGAACATTAATCAAATGTGGATTACCGAACTCCTAACATCTAACCGGTCATCATTCAAAATTTATCGTCACAATAGATCAAGGTATAAGAAAAGAAAACTTGTTGAAATACTTTATGCTGAGAATTCTATGTTGTACCAAAAATATAATGTTGAATAAAGCTTCTAATAATAATAATAAAAAAAAATAATACCATCTTAGGTAATTAAATCAAATTTAAATAAGAAAATATGTGCAATAATTCTTTTCACCTGATTAAAATATTCTTCCAATAAACAATCAACCCATGGTTCACTGACCGATAATGGTCTTACTTCATTTGATATATCACAACATTTAATGAGAACCATTTTGAACTATAAAAGAAATAATCAATATGATCATATTAGTAATCATCACTGTCAATAGACTATATATTAGATTAAGATTGAACATCTTTCTTCTCAAAGAGCTATGTAGATATATAAAATAGAAAACATTTTAGAATAAAAAGTGCTATTCAGCTGTCTAGTTCTTCCAGGTTTTCATTCGTAGTCTAGTTAAGATCAATTGGTGATTTCAACTGCGAAAATTAAAAAAAACTCCACAAATACCCTACTCACTCACTTACTAACGCCTGTTACTCCTAATGGAGCATAGGTCGCCGAACATCATTCTACAACCCACTCTGTCCTGGGCCTTCTTTTCTAGTTCTATCCAATTCTTGTTCATTTTACTAATGTCTATCTCCATTTCTCGAAGTAATGTGTTCAATGGACTTACTCTTCTCTTTTGGCCTTCGAGATTACAAGTAAGGGCTTAACTTGTGACACAGTTTGGTGCTTTCCTCAATATGTGTCCTATCCACTTCCAGCGCTTCTTCCTGATTTCTTCCTCCACTGGGATCTGGTTTATTCTTTCTCACAGTAGGTTGTTGCTGACAGTGTCTGGCAAATGGATCCAAAGTATTTTGTTTAGACAACTGTTAATAAACACTTGTATCTTCTGGATGATGAGTTTGGTGGTTCGCCAAGTTCCACCCTATGCAGTAGAACTGTCTTGACATTTGTATTGAAAATGCTGACCTTGGTGTTGATTGACAGTTGTTTTGAGTTCCAGATGTTCTTCAGTTGTAGATACGTTGGTCTTGCTTTGCCGATCCACGCCTTCACATCTGCATCAGATCCACCCTTTTCATCAAATACCCTAGACTAAACTTTCATTCGTTAACGACTCCAACTGATCATTGTTTTGTGATTAAATGGCAATGCTCTTTCATAACACCATATTAGTTAATCCGTTTTTTCCCGATAACTTGAATGATATTTTGACATTTGTTTATCCATTGAAGTTTACCTATGCTGTCAAGTATATGGATTATTTAATAATAGTTTATATCAATGGTTAAGATCATGAGTCAGTTGAAGCTAGATCACCATGGAAAACCTGGAAGCACTGGGCGGCCGTTTCGTCCTACTGTGGGACTCCTCAGCCGAAACGGTCGACCAGTGCTTCCAGGTTTTCCATGGTGGTCTAGCTTCAACTGACTCATGATCTTAACCATTAAAATTACTATAATATCCACAAAACCCATCTGATAATAGTTTATATCTTATATGGTTCAAGAACATTATTTTGTGTATTTGAAAGGCTTAAGCTTCTAATAGGTATATGGTGTTGTGACGGAATATTACCATTTAATAAGAAAAAGAACGCTGATCAGTTGAAGTCATCAAGGAGTTCAAGATTGGTGTAGGATATTTGTGGAGTTATGTAAACTTTTCTCAGTTGAAATCGCCAACTATGACTGAAAACCTGAAAGGACTAGACTCTCCAATAATACACATCCGCGACCATGTAAGCGTGAATTCGAATATCCTCTTATAAATTTAAATTTCTTTACTTACAGTTTCACGATGTTCTTTTTTATTCATTGAAAAACCTTCTTCTAAATGTCTTCTCATTGTTTCTAATATTTCACCATGTCTTGCCATATCAGTAGAGAGAATTAAACTTGTCATACCCTAATTAAAGTGATTAAAAATATTAAAAATGAATGAATAATTAGGAAAAGACGATGGAAATGGATAGGACATACATTACGCAAATCATACAACCGCATCACGAGGCAAGCCCTAACTTGGAATCCTGAAGGGAAACAGAAAAGCGGAAGACCAAAGAACATATTACATCGGAAAATAGAAGCAGATATGAAAAGGATGAATAACAACTGGAAGGAGCTTGAAAGGATTTCCCAGGAGAGGGTTGGGTGGAGAATGCTGGTTAGCGGCCTATGCTACTCCACGAGGATTAATAGGCGTAAGTAAGTGAGTAAGTAAAAATGAATGAATACCATATAGGTTTATCGAATTTTCGACATAAGTTTAATTATTAGAACGAACCAGTCAAACGTGAAGAAGTGTCTTCTATGTTATAACGGAAGAATCCAACGAACATGATGATTATCAATTACATCATTATGAATTTAAGTAAAATCATGAAAAACTAGATGTGAATTGTAATGCATGATTATGGATGTGAAATATTTGTAAAAGAATACAAGGAAGTACTCACAATTGATTGATCACTAAGTGATGATCAATGTAATGTGTTTCATGTCCTTATTAGTGCAGATAGAATGCTATCGACCAAGTTGTGACCGCTAGTCTAAGTGACTCGACTTTGAGTGGACTATAATGAGATATGACGGTGATTGGAGGTAGATAGCCCGGATAGCTCAGTGGTAACATCGCTGTCTGTAAAGCTGGTTGAAACGGGATCAAGATCGGGATTACAGGCACTCCTTGCTGACGAGTAACAAATAACCCAGAAATTCGGGTCTAGGGTTTCCTGTTGACTACCTTCAACCACCATCTTACAAGTGAAGTATTTCATTGTCATGTGTATTAGCATTATAAAAGAGTCCTTTGTTTCTTGTTCAGAGTTATAAAACAAATAAAGGATACTTTTTTGTAATGTACTGAGTAATAGAAACCGACATGACATATGCAGTTGGTCAAACCGATTCATAAAAATAATTTGCAGTACAATCATTTAAGTACCAACAACTAATTTTTTACACAAAATGTATCATTTGTAGTAGCTAACCAAATGATGAATTATCAGTATAGGGTTGTGGAGATTATTAAATTTTTGATTGGATACCGGCTCAGCGGTCTAGAAGTTAGGTGTTCGTGCGCGAGACTGAAGGCCCTGGGTTCGAATTTCGTGAGCGGTATCGTGGATACGCACTGCTGAGGAGTCCCATAATAGGACTTCTAGGTTTTCAATACTGGTCTAACATCAATCAGTTCATGATCTCAATCAAAGATGGTGAATTATCACACAAACTGATGGCTATAGTAAATATCGTGACAACTAATTGAGTACATAACTATTTTGTTAATTAACCAAACAAAATCCTTAAACGATGAAGTTGGGCTCATCAGTTCATATGAAACTAACTGCTAACTGGCACAAAATCAAATCTATAAATATGATTTTCTCAACACCTCTATTCGGATTTATGAATTAGTATGTAGGCACCAACTCGAATAAATTGGAAGAATAGAGCGAGAGTGTGAGCAGTAACTGTCAATATTTCTTAGCAAACACTAAAGAATTTGTGATTAAAGAGTGTTAGTTCCTTGAACAGTATGATAGATCGATATTTAATATATAGCGGGTACATCATTGATTTTCGTAAATCATTTAAGATAATCATTAGACGATGAAAATGTAACTTGTTTACGTTCTACTGAAGCAGTTGCGATCAAAATAATTCAGATCTAATCGATGTGTTTAATAAGAGTCAGTTGTCAATTTATTTACACTATAATCAGCAATGTAATCAACGCGATTCTTCTGTCCTACTTGAGTATAATTGGTTGAATCTATTGCATCCTAGTGTTGATACTCAAAATGAGACACATATCCTGTATCTATTAGTTTAGATGCATAGATTATTGGTTTATAATGGCCGAAGAACTTGTTCAACATCTATAATGTTGGTTATTGTATGTAAGTGTTTATATTTTTTCTAATATTGATGTTCCAAACTGAATTTAATCAACTTCTATTGTTAGTCTCGATGTAAACATTGAACAGAAGGTTCTTCCAACTGATCAGTCATAAGCAAGATGATAGGATTGTACTATAAACTCTAATTCAAAGATGTAATCAATTAGTAGCTGAAGACATTATCGAAGAAATCAACTCTAGATGTATGTGTGTCAAAAGAAACTGATCAAGTATATTCTTGAGTTTAAACTGATTAACCACAGATCACTGATCAATTAGTTTATATCTAAAACATAATGTAAGAGAAGTTGAGTCACTTAGACGAATATCCATAATGGTACTTGGTTGATGGAATTCAGTCAGGACCGAGGATTAATGAGATAAGATTCCAATAACTACCCACCGATCAATCAGTGTAAAATATCTCTATCTCATAGTAGGTTAGTTATAACGAGTAAACATAAACTAATCTGGTTGTGAATATCTTCAAAGTTTATACAAGAATGAATTATCAGAATGAATTAGTTTTGGGTGTATCAAAGATTTCAAAGCTTCACTCCATATTTCAAACATAGATCAAAGTATGTTCATGTTTTCTTAGTGACGCCTTTTTTGGTTAAAAAGAGATGAAGCGTAATTGTTAAGTGAATTGTAAAGAAGGTCTATTGCCCCTAAATGCCCTGGTACGGCCAAGAGTGGGGAGAGTCAGCTCTCCATCTTGAAATGCTCTTACATAGCCACATGCATACAATCACTGTCACGGGAGTCCTACTTACTGACTTCTCGTAACAGCAGTGTTGTTAACGAAATTGAGAGGACGAAAAGTGAATGTTCAGCGCTTTAACAGGGATTGGTGGACACGGATAGTTCATGTAGGGGAGTTGAAAAACCCTGATTCCAAACCAATCGCGGACATGGACTGCAGGATGCTGATGAAAAAAAGGTGTATGAACCAATCGCTGGTCACGGGCTACTATTGGGCTGCATCTCCTGACTTTGCTCCACAACCTTGTGAATCAAACCTTTAGGTTGAAGGCTCAGGCTGTTGACCCCTAAGGAAACCACCTGGTTCAGTCTGAGCACCCGAGGAGTATCCCAGCCCTCACACAAATCAAATGATGCTTCCTTGTTTAGAT